TGGTGCATCTTCTTCTGCCACATTTTGCCCTTCCACTAGACTTTCCATTGATATGCTTGGACACAGCACTCTGTGAACAGCCAGCCTCCTTAGCTATGAACATTTGTGGCTTACCCATCCTATAGAGGGGATCAATGACGGTCTTCTGGCCAGTTGTCAAGTCTGCAGTCTTCCCCATATTGAACCGAACTGAAACAATTGAACCAAACTGAAGCAATTTAATGACACCTGGGGAAACCTGTGCAGGTGCTTTGAGTTTAGTAGATGATTATTGTGTGACACTCAGTTTAAAACATTCATGCCCTGCACAATTTGGACTGATTTCTTCCCAGTATTCTAATTTTTTGCATTCCTGTTTTCGTGGGTTTTGTGAGCTGGAAGCCCAAATTGTGTAAAAATAAACAAATAAACACTTGAAATCATTTAAATTGTGGGCCCTGAATCTATAATCTATGAAAGTTTAACTATTTGAATGGAATTATGGAAATTAAACAACTTTTCCATGATATTCTAATTTTTTGGAAAGGGTCTGTATATATATGTGTGTGTGTGTGTGTGTGAGGAATAAAATGTTACTGATTAAAATAAGTCTTTTCAAGCTTGCATTTATGCAGGTTTTCTGTAATTTAATTTACTGGTACCGGACCTATTTGTCACTTCTTGTATATTATTTTTTTTTTTTTTTTTTTGCTTGTTCATTCTAATTTTAATTTTAATTTTATTTTATTCCATCCAGTTTCATTGCATTTGAGATGCACTTGCAGTACGAGCTGTGCCACACAAATAAACAAACAAAAAAAAAACACACACACAAATAAACACAAATAAAACAGCCCCACTTTCACTCCTCAGCTGATTTTATTTTCATATTGGTCACCAGCTCTGGCCATGTGGCTGCTGGCAGTGAAATAAAAGTTAAATATGTGTTTATCCTGAATGATAAATACTGATTACTGACAGCCTTTCACCAGCAGATGGAGTCGTGCAGTTTCTAAACCAGGCCTCAACACAGAGGGTGAGTCCAGGAATCCGGCCTTTCCCTGGAAAGAGGAGCGAGTGTGGACGGTCGGCCGGAGCATGTGAGGGACTTCAGTCATGTTCACTACAGGAAACCATCCTAGTTAGACTCATTTGATCTCTCAGGGATCAGCCATGCTCAGCTATCATCGTTTCCCAGAGTTTGCAATGACTAAATTATCTGCTGTTTGCTAATTAAGAGTATTCTGATTACAGGAGCAACGAGGTGACGTGCATGTGAGGTAACAGAAATACACACATTAGATGGAACCCTGGAAACACAGTCACAGCATTTACACGGTGTAGAACAGACAAGAGCCTCACCACCGGCCTTCCTTGTCATTACTTTAGCTGTAGCAGCTCGTTGGAAGTGTTCGTGTGGACGGAGTGGGCACGGCAGGGCAGCTGCTGGGCCCGGAGCCGTGGAGTGGGTGAGAACGTCCGAGTGGTGCCAGCTATGGGGGCTGCAATTAGCATGCAACTCCTGTTTGGAGTCAACCTAATGAGAAAACCAAAGGGTTACAGAAATAAAACCTCTCTGCTTATTCAGATATATTCATTTTTATTTCATTTACAAATAATAATAATAATAATAATGCAAAGATACAAAGACAGAAGCCTTCACACGAGAAAAATACGTCAGGTACAGTTCAAACAGAAGTGTGTTTCATCTCCAGCACAGCACACATTTACAGCCAACTGCAACTCTTTTGGTCCGATTTTAACAGTTAAAATAGAAAAAGCACAATTTGAAGAACGAGGTTTGAACCAGTCGTCTTTAAAGGGTTAGCTCAAGAAAGGTACCGACTTGCCAAGCTGTGCTGCAGAACGCTAGACTTTGCATATTCTATGAGCGTGATGTTTCCTGTTGCTGTGAGTGCCAGGACGGTGCACCTTTCCACGGCACTAAAACGCGTTAGTATCGCTGTACTCAGAAACAAAAAGAGAAAACACGTTATAGAACATTTTAGCTGCCATTGTATGAGGCTTGAACCAGCGCTGGGCTGTCCTCAGAAATGCACACAAAGGATTCATAGCACGACCATGACTCGTCTTCCTGATTCAGCTTCAACATGCTGTGTCATGAAGTCAATCTCATATATCTCAATATCATATATATTTCTCTCTCTCTGTATATATATATATATATATATATATATATATACAGCCTGACTGTACAGTATTTGTATCTGTTATTTCTTAATGTATGTCATTTAACACGAATATCGTTTTTTTCACTACAAAATAGTGTTTGACAGCAAATTTATAAAACACAGGCAAAACAAAAATACTTAATTTAAAGCAAAATATAAGAAGATATTTTTGAAATTCCCTCTTATGCAGAGAAGAGCTCTCCGGCCTACTGGACAGGTTTATCAGTCATCTCTTTAGGCGACGCCGCGAGGATTTCAGTAACCGTGTTCAATGTAAACAATGCATCCATAAGTTCAGATGTCTGCAGGAACTCGTTTGTGTTTCGTTAAAATATTTTTGAGAAATAAAAAGGAGAGGATGTGTTTCAACAGTTTCAAAGGATAAAACGTCTCAGTGTTCTCTCGCTTATGGCTGTTCTGAACTTTGGTTAAACTGTTGCTTTAACACCAAAACAGAAAGAACGGAGAAAAGGAGATACAGTGCTGCTGACAGAGTCCCCATAAAAGTAAACCAC